CCCGGGTTCAATTCCCAGCATCCTATATGGTCCCTCAAGCACCACCAGGAGTGATTCCTGAGTGCATGAGCCAGGAGTAATCCCTGTGCATCGCCGTGTGTGACCCCCCCCAAAAAAAAATTGCAAAGAAAGAAAGAAAGGGTTGATGCTCAGAGGTTACTTTTGGCTCTGTATTAAGGCCTTACTCTTTGCAGGGTTCAGGGGACCACGTGGGTGATAGGATGGAATACAGGTCAAGTGCATGCAAGGTAAATGCCCTACCTGCTGTACTATGGCTCGCACCTGGGCAAATGCAATCTTTTCTTTCTTTTTTTTAATTTTTATTAGTGAAACACCATGAGGTACAGTTGTAGAGTTTCAAATTTTTGTGCTTAGGTTTCAATTATACAATGATCAAATACCCATCCCTCCACCAGTGCCCATCTTTTTCTCATAGTGTGTCACATGCTTACACACCTAACAAGGACTGCTGTTTTTTCTCCTCATTTCCTTATAGACCAGTAAAGACATCATCCACAGTTGGTAATGACTGACAGTGCATAGTCCAGAGGTCAGTATCTTTCAAAGGTGAATAATATACAGCTTCTTCATAAAAGTCATTCCTTGCCCTGCCACAGAGGTAGAGTGGGATGAAGGGGGGGTGGGGGGGAGGGAGACTGGGATCAGTGGAGGTGGAGAATGGGCACTGGTGGAGGGATGGGTACTCGATCATTGTATAACTGAAACCCAAGCACAAACATTTGTAAGTCTACAACTGTACCTCTTGGTGTTTCACTAATAAAAATTTAAAAAAAATAAAAGTCATTCCTGCAAGATTTCAAGGATACGTCCATATGTCCCCGACACCATGACTCTAAAGGCTGCATTTTCACTATTCCTATTTATTCCAACAAAGACGTGCTTTTCAATTGTGATTTTTACTGTTTGTTCTCTATAATTGAAAATGTTAATTTTTTAAGATCATCATCTATGTGAAACATTAAAGTGTTTGTAGAACTGGACAATTCCTGAGAGTATCTCCAAGTACCTAAGTCTGAGAAACAGAAACGGTGTCTATATGCGCATAAATCAACTGCTCTGTTTTTCTATGAAAGAAAAGCTTGAGTTACAGCAAGATGTGAAGAAGAGGCTGTGAGAGGTACGAGGCTCCGGCAGAACATAGGGCAGCAAAGAGCCTGCCCCCTGGGAGGGGACTCAGGGTCACCCACAGGCACTGGAAAGAGACCACTTCCAGCCCTGGGAGCTCTCACTTCAATTCGCCCCTGCCCTGAGATGCAGGTACTAACGAGGAGGAATGAAGCCTGCAGCTTTTCTCCTTGGAATCATTCCATGGACCTTTGTTGCTCCCTGGGGATCTAGGTGAAGAGCTCCATAAGGAATGGCAAAGATTCTTTTCTGTTTTATTTTGAGGCCACACCCAGTGGTGCTCAGGGCTTATTCCTGCTCTGAGGAATCACTCCGGACAGGCTTAGGGGATACTAGGGATCAAATCCAGGCCAGCTGCATGTAAAGCAAGCACCCTATCTTACTATCCCAGAAATGGCAATATTTCCAACATCAAAGCAAAATTTCCAGGGAGGCCCAAAAGAAAGACCAAAATGGTCTGGAGAGAGAGAACAGCAGGTAAGGTACTTGCCTTCATGTGGCTGACCCAGGTTCGATCCCCAGCATCCCATCTGATCCCCTGAGACTGCAAGGAGAAATTCCTGAGTGCAGAGTCAGGAATGACTAAAACTAAAACATAAAAATTAAAAAGACTAGGGGCTAGAGTGATAGGGCATTTGCCTTGCACATGGCCAACCCAGGTTCGATTCCCAGCATCCCATATGGTACCCTGAGCACTGCCAGGAGTAATTCCTGAGTGCATGAGCCAGGAGTAACCCTTGTGCATCACCGGGTGTGACCCAAAAAGCAAAATAAATAAATAAATAAATATATTTAATTAATTAATTAAAAAGACCAAAACTTGAGAAGGTTCCCTGAGCTGGGTCACACCCAACAAACACTAGAATCCCAGAGTCATTGAACCCTTTGTTGCAGAGCCTAGTGTAGCCCCACAGAAGCCTCCATGACTCAGGACATGGGAGACCCATGATGGAAGAGACAGTGCCAAACAGATTGGGTCCCAATCAGAGAGAGAAAGGTGTAAGCATCCTTGCAGGCGCTCTGGCCATGCCATTCCCCTCTCAGCCAGTGTGACCTCGGATCCAGGCACAGAGCCCGAATGAAGAATCACTCTTTCATCTACAGCTAGAAGGGTTTTAGGAAGAATTCACTGGATTATTAGCTCAAAGACAGTGATTTTTAAAATGCCTACAGGTGCTTTCTCATCTAGGCATGTTACTAGGCTGATCAGTTGCTACTATGCCCAAGGACAGGGGACAAATGGCCTTAGGATCAACAACCAGAATGCAGCATTGAGGTTATTTACTCCCTGGGGCACCACTGGCTGGATAGCCACAGCCAACAAGCTATTCCCGGCTGCAAAACTATTTGAAACCTGCAAAAACAATTGACTCCAAGATCCAGAAAGAAAATTGCCCAACTGAAAGCAGCAACTGTTCCACCGACTGTCTGCAGAATACGTTATATTACCCAATTCACTGCAACCCATGGAAACACTCACTGTGGGATGCAGGAACACCTCAGTGTGCCTGATATGGTGTGGGGTGAAACCTCCAAAGGCTCTCAGTGGCGCTGCTTCCGGCATCTTTTTACCCGACCCAAGCCCTTCAGGTCCCACAGTCACCCTTGTCTCTTCGGGGTTGGCTGACATGTCTCCCTCTTCGCCCCTTTTTCCCTCTTCTCCTACATCCTTGCCATCCTCCGAGTTCACCCCGACCACCGTCATCCATTGAAACCAAAACAGAAACTGCAGGAATCTCCCACCAGCCCAGACAAGTAGGCCGGCTCTAATCCCACCCTTGGAAGGAATCTGCAGCTGTCCCACAATGCAGTAAAGCCCAGCCTTGTTCTGTGCAGTCCAGCGGGACAGTGAGGGCCCAACCCCAGGCTTGCCCAGGCCAGACCAGCCTGGATGAAATCTAAAGCGGGGTAGAAAGCAAGAGACTGTGTCACACTCAGGATCTGGAATCTGGCAATCCTGAGCCAACTCCCACATTTGTACTGTGCCTCGGGATATCTCACCTTATCATGTTTTTATGCATTTTTATTTCCACATCATAAAATTACACTTGTAATCCAGGACAGAAAAACTTTCATTCAAAAGGGCGCACACACACTGTTATTCATTGTAGCACTCAATACTACAGCTAAGATTTGAAATCAACCTACATGTTCAACGACAAATCAGAGTATCATGAAGATGTAGTTTATATACACAATGGAATACTATGCAGCTATAAGTAATGATGAAGTCATACAATTCACTGAGACCTGGATGGAACTGGAAGATATCATGTTAAATGAAGTAAGCCAGAAGAAGGATAAACAGGATGATATCACTTACATGTGTAAGTATTTAGAATAATTGGATGAGAATATACAATGATTTTAAGAGGAGATGCCTAGATTATCCTTGGCCACATAGGATAGGGAGGAAAAGGAAAGAAATCAAGGGGTGTGGGGGTGGGGGCAGATGAGACAGATGAGAAGCAATGGGGGAATCAAGAGGATTCAGGTGCGTTGGTGGTATAAAGGAATGATAGAGCTAAACATCCAAACCACCGAGCCAACAACACTAAAATCATGAGATCCAGACTATAACAAACTTACAAAGTTGCCTGTCAAGATGGCAGGCTGGGGGTGGGAGTGTAGGAGAGGGAACCTGGGAACACTCATGAAGAAAGTTGGCACTGGTGGCGGGATCGGTGCTGGAACATTGTATGTCTAAATCCAACTATAAATTACTTTGTAAATTACAGTGCTTTAATCAAATAAAATTAAAACCAAACCAAAAATACACTCGTATGTCAGAAAAGTAGGCTCCATGGATTCGGCTTTCCCTTCCCACAACAGTAAGCAGCCAACTTTTTACTGAACACTTACTATATCCCAGACCACATGGACTGTCTCAGGCATTCTTAAGACAAATTCCCCTAACAAAACAATCCTTGTGTTGCTTGTGAAAAACCATAGCTTGGAGGCTTCAAAGGTAATTCTGAGGATCACACCAAGCTATGACTCAAATACAGGCAAGGCTCACACCCAGCCCCACCAACAGAGACCCTCACACTGGAACTTTATGAATCCTTCTGCAAGAAGCAACTAGTAGAACATGGACCTAAGAACCAGACAACATGCATCTGGAGCAACGCTCTGTCCCTGAGCAGGTGTAAGGCTGGGAACAGCCCTTCAGTCTCACGCAGCCTCTTCCTCCCGCATCAATGGAAACAACAAGCTCCCATGCTGCCAGTGACACAGGACTTCAGCCACGCTCAAATAAGACATCAGGGCTGTCTGAACCCACAAGCAAGGGATGGTGAATCTGCTCTATCCCCTGCTAAGTGGCTGCCCTAGCCCTGCCCGCCCATTTCCAGGAACAGGCTATTCGCTTCTTCATGCAGCTTATCCTGGTGAGAAAGTTCAACCCCTTGCAAAGACCACCAGACAGATTTGTCTGCATCTCCAGTCTTCCCGGCTGACCAGAGGGGAAGAAGCCTCGTGGCATCGGCGTACATTGAGTGCTAAAGACTCCCATGACTCCGTCCTCACTCCTGCCATTCAGCCCCGGGCTCTCTGGCACATAAGGAAACAGATGGAGGCAGGAATGTCCTTGTCTGCTCTGCCTCCTCTCCTGCTGGCAACATTTCCCTATTCCTGCTTACCAAATTCCTGGGCTTGGGTGGACAGTCCAGAGGTAGAAGGATGCTGGCGATGCTGCTGCTGCTAGCTGTTCCCATCACTCACGCTTCTCCATGCCCTGCCCTCCGCAGGCACCACTTGCCTCTGAGGTCCCCTCACACGGACCTTAGACCTCTTTCCTGCTTGCTCCCATCCTCCCTGCTATAGCATCTCCCCCATGGCTCGTGGGTCCGTACCTTAAAGGATTCCAGGAAGCCCCCATGGCCTCCATTCTCAAACTTGTCTTCCTCGGGACCCAGTCCCAGCATCGCCTGTGTGTGGGCGTGGAGCTCATCGTGAAGGTTATCCAGGAGGGCGGCCCTCGTCCGGTCCTAGAGGGGAAAGGATACAGGCAGCTGAGCTGGTGCTGAGGGCAGAAATGCGCCTCCTCCCCAGGGGTCTGGGCCTGAAGGCTGCTACTCTGGCATCTGGTGATGGTTTTCAACCTCTGGCCCATAGACCAGTGCTGAGCCATAGAATTTCCTGCCGGTCATTTTTTAAAAAAGCATTTGCCACTTAACTGACAATGCCTTGTGACTGCTGGTCCATGGGTGGGCCTACAGGTACAAAACAGCTGAAGTCCACTAGTGTAAGATCTCTGATCAGGATGGGCTTCAATGCTCATAGATGCCGTGGTTAGGAAGTCCCATAGCTCAGGGCCCACCCTCTGTTCCTGTCCCCCAGTCCCTCTCACTAGCCACCCCTCCCCCACCCCGCCCCCATGGCTTTCCTTGCCTTAATTGACTCCCAGATCCAAGTGCCACATCCAGTTTTCTTCCTCCAGATGTTCATGGGACATTGCACACAGCCTCTGGGGACACCATTAACACTGACGAGGCAGTCCCCCCAGCAACCCACTTCCTTCCTTGTCACCGAGGTCATCTACCCTATACTTAAGAGTCCATTGAGTCTTTCTGACCATGACCCGGAATCATTTCCTCCAGGTCCTGGTCTCACTGGGGTGCCTGTAGCAGGCCCCCAAATGACTGTCCTTTCACCTTCCTCCCTTTCCGCCTACCCCTCACCACCTGGCCAATGCGCATCAAGCACACCACTCCCCTGCCTCATGACTTCATTAGCACCTCCTGGCTCCTAGTCCAGTGCCCTTCCTGCTCTGATGCTGCCACTGGGTCTCTTACCACTTCATACACACACACACACCCCTACCCCACGGGAATTCTTTCAGATCCCATCAAACACTCCAGAGAACCTTCTTGAATTCATGCTTATAGTCTGCCTGTTTTTTAGGCTTGGAAGCACCCCTCACTCCTTCCTCCTGGCAAGACTGAGAGAGGCAGCTTGTGTATCTCTGTCAAGGGCCACCTCCTCCCAGAAGCCTCCCCTGAACATGCCCTAAGGAGACAAAAGTCCAGCCGGCTGGCTGCCACATAACCCTATGCTACCACAGACTCTCTGTTTGTTTCTCTAGTGACAGCTACTCCCATGAGTTTATGAGCTCTCAAAGGCCAGAAACTGTCTCACCCCTACCTCCAGGAAATCAAATGGAGCTGGCACATAGCAGGTGCTCAATAATGGGGGGATGGCGGGGCGGGGGGTAGTTTCCTAGATAAAATTGGAATGGCATTTCCACAAGAAGGTAGAGATCCCATATCAACACAGTCTGCAAGGTGCAGAGGGGCCCAACTGGGGCTCTCCACTTTCAACAGCCACCAGGAACAGATTCCCTGGAGAGGCCACCAGGAGGCCAGGAGGACACCCTTCAGAAGCCTCAGGCACTCACCTCCAGCTTCGCGAACTTGTCCGACTTGCAGCAGGCATTCTCAGCATTGGTGAGCTTGGTGAGCAGGAACTCCCTGAACTCGGGGCCCTGGAACACATGAGGAGGCCCAGGACACTCAGCTGCTGCCCATGGGTCATCAGGAACAGGTGGACAAACCCAGGTCTGCCAATGGGCCCTCAGAGACAGGCGGGCAAATCCAGGTGCTGGGGACAGTACTGAAAGGACCCTATGCTACCACAGACTCTCTGTTTGTTTCTCTAGTGACAGCTACTCCCATGAGTTTATGAGCTCTCAAAGGACCCTTTTGGACATTAGAACATTTCTAGCTAAGGACAACACACTGCCCTGTGCCTGGCTAGTGGGTCCATGTCAAATGGGAGAGTCCCAGATAAGGGTTCACAGTTCAGTACCCTCCAAGCTGTCTCCCAGGTACAGAACCTGGGGCCTTGGCTGTGAGAGGGGAGACAGGAGAGTTTCTTACCTTCTGGAAAACAGGTGGGCTGGGCAGTGGGGGGCCGAAGGCAGGTACATCTTCCCTTGCCGTGACCGAGACCTGAAACAGTCCTGATGTGAGCCCAAAGGGATGGCACTCCAGCTGAGAACATATTCCAGGTCCAGGCCCTGGAGAGCCCCACTTCCCATGGCAAATATTCCATGCCCTACTCCCCTCCCCAGAAGACTCTTGAGGGCCAGAGCCAGCAGGGCACAAGTCACTGTTGCTAGAAATGGGGAAGGAGGCGCAACACCCACTCCCCACATGTATCACCCACATGCTCAGAGCCATGAATAAGTCTGGCAAAATGATGGATGGGGCTGAAGAACTGTCTGGACCCCTGATTCTCATGCAGCCCGAGTGCTTGGGAGACATTACCTCACTGCCTCATTCGATGGGGATGCTGGGATGCTAATCCCATAAAGAAGTGGGGGTGGGGGTGGGGGGGAGGATCTGCCTGTACACTGATGGGGAGACAGATGCCCCAAAGACATACACTCTCAGTCAATCAGAGATGAACAGAGACCTGCTGCTGCCTCTGGGGTTCCTACTCCCATTCTGCTCCCAAGTCTGGCCATTCCTCTGAATCATTCCAAGTGTGGAAGAATAAACACTGGGGCTGGAGCAATATTACAGCAGATGGGGCATTTGCCTTGCATGCGGACAACCCGGGTTTGATCCCCCCCATCATCCCATATGATCCTCCGAGCACCAGCAGGAGTAATTCCCGAGTCCAGAGCCAGGAGAAGCTCTGAGCACTGCCGGGTGTGGGTCCCCAAACAAACAAAGAGCAAGAATAAAGACAGGCTGCAAGGGCATTCACCCCAACCCCAATGCCTCCAAAGCTCAGGTTGGAACCAGGAACTTGAGGCCTCTAGGTGCTCCTGTGCTCCTGTGCATCAGTGGGGAGATAGCCTGGGACCCCATTCAGGGTGCATCCATCTGAGTGTGAGAAGAGCAAACAGTGCCAGGGCCCAGGCTGGGAACCAAGGCCAGGGGCACATCAGAGCTCTGTGTTGGGGTGTCTCCAGCTCTGGGTGCACCTCTGACCAGCTGGAAGAAGCACAACTGATAGAGTGAGGCTCCAGAGGGTTACGTGGAGGTCTCCCAGGCTCTAGGGAACCTCACACCTACACCTACACCTTCTCTCTGCAGGGCGGCGCCCTGGTTTCACCTGCTTGCAGCACCCAAGGCCACCAGCCTCTCTGGAGACTGTCCTCTCCCTTCAAGCTGCCACTGACGTGAGCTGGGAGCCAGGCCCTGGCACCTTGCCAGTCTCCCTGGCCTGTGAAGTAGGGCAGATGCAGAGAGTCTGCCAGACCGGGTGAGGAGGCAGCTGGGAGCCGAGCCAAGGCAAGGCCCTGCCAGGGTCTGCAGGGGAAAAGGAGTTGGAGAGAGCTGGTCAGTACGGCTCTCCCTCCCCCCAGTTCAAGGCCATCCCTGTGGCCTTAAGCACAGCCCAGAGGCACAGAAAGGTGTCCATTTGGCTGACATGATTTCTGGAGGGTTCTAGCTGCTTGAACATGGCCCAACACCACCCACAAGGCATGGCAGGGAGTGGATAGAGGCACAAGTCAGGAATTCCTCCCCTCGGAACCAGAGGCTGGGACAGGGATTGGGCAGAGACGCTGAGCGGCTGCCCACTGTAGACACCTCTGGGTGGAGGCCAACACTGGCCCAGCTCACCCACCCCCTCCTCAGGCCGGCTCTCCCTCCTTCTGGGGCTTGCATTGACGTACTACCTGGCTAAGTGGCTTTAGACATGCTCTTTAATTCGCAGTCTGCCAGTCTGACCAGCCCACTACAGCAGAAGCATCAGAGAAGCAGGGAGCGAGGCCCTTCTGGTGACAGCCATTCATCTCCTCTCCTCACTGAATCTCTTTCAAAAGCATCGGGCCTTTGTTTTCAAAAGCATCGGGCCACCTCCTCTCAGGGTGGCTGGGCCACTGCGGCTGAAAGGAGGAGCTGCCTGAACGCGACCCCACCTTCCTGTTTTCTAAACTCAGCCACAACCTCCGGGTAGGGCGCAGGACCAAGCAGAAGCAGGTGGCTCCAGGAAGAACATTTTCGAGACCAGAAAATGGAAGGAGACTTGGCGGGTGTGGGGTAACAGGAGGTGACGAGAGAGGTGAGCCTCTGGGGCTCCAAGCTTGACAAGAGGTCTGGAAGCCTCAACAGGGCAGGGTCCTGTTCAGTAGTAATGGGAAAGAGGGTCTCCCTTTCTCCCTTTTAGGACATGGTCTCTCCAGGAGATCTCCCTTCTGCTTTGCCTAAGGTTCCTGAGACCTCTATAAGATTTTAGAGGGGAACCTGCAGGGGCTGGAGTGATAGTACAACAGGTCGGGCACGTGGGTTCAATCCCTGGCATCCCATACGGTTCCCTGGGGAACCTCCACGAGTGAGTTCCAAGTACAGAGCCAAAAGAAACCCCTTGGCCTCACCAGGCATGGCCAAAATCTCTCAGAGAGGAAGATATCTTAGGGGTGGCTCAGCTGGATGTCCTTCCTCCTGGCAGAAGGAGGACTTAATACATGGGGGGGCCAGCCCGCTGCATTGCTGGCTGCAACCTTAGTTTGTAAAGTCTGGTTCCTGCCAGCAGTGACAGCTCAAGGATGAACAGCACAAGCCAGCCTGGACCAGATTCCAGCCCTGCAGTGCTGGGCTCTGTAACTCTCACCTGGAGTGACTGAAGTTCTCAGCCTTGATTTTCCCCCTAGGACCTACGGTCAGAGGGACTTGCCTGCCCAGGGGCCCCGTGCCTTAAAGGGCCTGGCTGCTCCGAGCCTCTCCCACGGAGCAAGCAGCCACTCCCAGGAATCACTGTCATGGGGGTGTTTGCATGTTCCTTGTCCCTGCACAAAAATAAAGAGCCCTCAATATTAAAGAGTCGACTGAGGGGCTGGAGCAATAGCACAGAGGGTAGGGCATTTGTCTTGCATGCAACCGACCTGGGTTCGATTCTCAGCATCTCATATGATCCCCCAAGCACTGCCAGGAGTAACTCCTGAGTGCAGAGTCAGGAGTAACCCCTGTGCTTCGCCGGGTGTGACCCAAAAATCAAAAAAAAAAAAGAAAGAAATGAGGAGTCGCCCAAGTCACTTCCTAATCTGCCACACATACCCTCTTCCTCAGCAACCACCGCAGATAAGCGTCAAAAGGAACTTAAAGGTTGTCTAGTGCAACTTCCTCATTTCACTCAAGTGGAAACAGAGAGGGAAGGAACTGGCCCATGGTGACACAGCACCAGAACCCCAGCTCCTGAGCCTCTGGGTATGTGGCGCTTTCTTCCCCCACTTTTATTCTTCTTTCCTACTGTCCATTCTCCCAAGTTGAGTCCTCCTGGAACACTGCCCAGCCCCCTGAAATCTCATTGTCCTCTGCCACCGCTCCTAAGTCTTAGGTCCTGTTCGCCGTGGACACACTGAGGGATCTAGCCAGATCTCCCTCAGTCAGCTCGTGTCCTGGGATGCTGCTGAGGGCACAGGGGACGGAGTTTGGGGGAGCACCTCGAAAGCTTCCTCTGCCCGCTGCTCCTGTAGTCCCCGGTTATGAGGCCTTCTTGTCTTTCAGCCTGGACATCTGCTGGTCCTCCAGGCCCACACCCCAAGGAAAATCCTGCTCCCCCAGGGGGCCTTGCATCTCTGCTTCTCACGCCTGCTCTGAGCACTGCTTTCCCGAGTCCATCAACTGTGGCTGGACTTCAGGCATCAAAGCTGACGGCAGACAGGGCTCCTTGCTGCGGTGGTCTTTCTCTATATCTGCCCCTTCTGCCAAGCTGTTGGGTCCGTGAAGAAGCCTGTTAGCTGCACTCCGTTCCTACAGGATTGGAGCAAACACTAATAGTCCAGAAGAGATGCTGTTTCCCAGCAGAGGGTACAGGCCCAGCAGACACCACTCGCCCATCACACACAAACTTGCATGTGACTGCTGCCAGGGCCTGGAGGTCCCCAAATGCAACCCAGCCTTGTGGGGAGAGGTCTGCAATGTGATTCTTGCCTCTGTTGGCGTGAAAGGAGCCCATTGGCCATTGGAGCTGCCCAGGGGCCGGACTGCACTCGCTGACTCTGCTGTCCTTTTCCCAAAGGCAGACTCGGAATGTCACCCCCAGGGGCTCTGCCCTAGCATGGGGCCTGATGTGAAGCAGGCACTGAGTAAGCAACTCACTTCTACCCACAAACCAAGCAGCTGCATGGACTGGACGCCAGTTTCGGTCACCTCAGGTCATCCCAGGACCTTCAAGGAAATACCAAATCGTGGGTTTTCCGGCTCTGCAGCTTCTGATGCCCAAACAGCAGAGGAGCCAGGCACTAACCAGAGGGGGGAAGGAATCAGTTCCCCTCCAGGGCAGACGCCTGCGAGTGCTGCTACTTAGTTTAAAATTAATGCAAGTTTGGTACTTAATGTATCTGCGTTTGTGCTGTTATAGCACACTGCCATGGGACATCAATTACTTTTCTACTCTCTTGGTATAAAATAGCTACTTTGTGATAGTCAGGAAAGTCCGCTGAGCGTGGGTGTGAGTGATTATGGAGGAAACCTTCCAGGCCTTGTGGTTGCAGATGAACAGTGACAAGCTCAGTTGTCCCCTCTCTTAGCACAGTGGTTCCTACCCCCACTGGGAGCAGGAGTTTTCTGAGAATATGAGTTATACTGTCGCTCCCCAGAATATGCAAAAAAGGCACATACTCAACATTTGGCCTCTATCAACAAAGGATTTGAAGATAATGTATTATCCACTTTGCAAAACCCGGTCTCAGACTGGAAGGATAATGGAGGGGTTATGACACTTGCTTTAAAAAAAAAAAAACTCAGAGGGGTTGGAGAGATGGTACAGCAAAAAGGCCATTTGCCTTGCACATGGCTGACCCAGCTTCAATCCCCAGCATCACATATGGTCCCCCACGCCCATGAAGAGTGATCCCTGAGTGCAGAATCAGGAGTACGCTCTGATCAATGCTGGATATAGCTCCCTGCGCCCCCCCCCCAAAAAAAAACCTAGTCTAACTCCCTTGGGTCCCATGCCCCCAGCACCATTATGATAGAAACTGTTGCCCAAGCAGTTGGGATCAGCTCAATGGAGAAGAGAAAAAGTGGGTTAGAGATGCAGTCGCCAGGAGCTGTCAGGAAGAAGCCACAAACGATGATGGACTAGAGCATTTGTGAGCCTCTGAACCAGCCTCACAGGCGTCCTTTCGGTCAAGTAACTGAGACCCAGGTGCTAGCAACTCCACGTTTCTGGGACCAGCCATTAAAGATCAGCTAACGCAGAGCCCGCCCCGCCCCCACCCCAGGGCACTGCTCTCATCCTTCTCTCCACAGATATTTCTGCCCTGTCTTTCTTTCCTGTGCCTCCCACCATCCTTGGTCCACTCCACTTTCTCCATTTTTCTCTCCTTTCCCTAACAGCAGACAGCTGTTACAAATAGGGGTCCCCGCCTTCTCAAGGACTCCTTGAGTCAGATGCTATATGTGGTCATATGGATTGGACGAGGTAACCTCAGAAGGGACTCTCCGCCAAGTACCAGGAACCCCAAAGCCCACAGAAATCTGTCCTATCCCCCACCCCAAACCCACAAGTGTCATTCTGGAGATTGGCTGTGGAGATCTGGGTCCCAGACATGGCTGAAAGCTGAAAGGGTGGGGAGTGGGCTATGCCCACCGCTCCCCTCAACTGGCCTGTCCCTCACCTTGTAGGATGGCGCTTCTGGACCTGGGTTCTCGGCCTGCACGACGATGTAGGCATGTAAGAAGTTGGAGGCAATCATATCCGGGACAAATGGTGTATTTTCTTCTTGAAAGATGATGGCCACGATGTCATTCCCAATGTGTCTCTTTCTCTGGAGCTAAACAAAAAGGTTCCATTGTTATAAGCAATTGGAGCAGCCCGGAAACAGAACAATGCAGTAGAGAAGCCTCAGAGTATCTTTATACAGGAGTCTGCCAAGTCTGAGGAGCATTTTTCTTTCTATCTTTAGAAAGCACCAAAGGAAGAGGGGGGATGGGGCAATGCCTGAGTGGGAAAGAATGCAACCAGCATCTTACTAAGCCTTCAGAGCCCTGACTCAGGACCTGGGGATCAGTTTAGAAATGAAGCCAAATTTGACAAGGAAGACCAGTAAAGGATCCAAAATAAGAGACAGACACAGGTAAAGCCACCTGAGAACAGAAAGCCTGTGGCCATCAAGCACTAGATACCAAGGCTGCTGGGAGTGCCTGGGGGAGGATCTGATGGTCCTCTGAGAAGGCTTCCCGGAGGAGGAAACCCTGGACAGGCGTGAAGGTGTATGAAAGAAAGTGTTAGTGTGAGTACGGGTGTGTGTGTGCATGTGTGTGTGTGTGTGTGTGTGTGTGTGTGTGTGTGTGTGTGTCGGGGATGGGGGGGAGTTAATGCGAGCATATGATTGGGCAGAGATGAGGAAGGCCAATCATTCTCTATACCACAGGGGTGAAGAGCCTGACACAGTGAAAATTAGGGGAAGACAGAAGTCCAGCCGCCCAGTGATTATAGCAAACGGTGCAACGCACTTTCGCCTGTGTTCTGCACCTCCAAGCGACCCCTGTGTGTTGGGAGCCGAGAGCAAGGGTGCTCGCATACGTGACTGCTGATGCTCAGGCCCTCCCTCATACCCAGTCCTGACTAGATGCTGTCCCACATACTGTTTTTTTGCAGCTATTGCATGCAAGCCCCCTGTTCTCCATCAAATTTCTTCTTTCCCAAGCACGGTGCTGAGCACTTTGACGCAGACTCAGTTATTCCCCATCCCAACATCCCATTTCTTGGGAAGAGAAAACTAATATTTGTACAGACCTTGCCAAGAGTCCAGCTCTGTGCCAAGGTATACAGGTAAGCCCGCAAGAAAGCCGGAGAGGAAACAGCCCTGAGCCTTAGGCAAAGGCACGGGAGGAGGGGCGGCGGGAGCACGGTCATAGACGGAAGGTGAGATACACAGCGTCAACTGCTGTGGCTACAAAAGGAGTCCTGCTCCCATTTGCTTCTGGAACATTCCGTAGTTATTTTAGAGCCAAGTCACGGTCTCCTTTGCCAATTTCCTTTCTTCCTCAGAAGCCAGAACTATGTTTACAGTATTACATCTGTGCTCTCCCAGTTCCCTGCTCAGAAACAACCAGGCCAGAGTCTGCTCAGGGGCCTACCTTCTTGTCTCGCTTTCTTATGACAGGGAAGTACAAAAAAAAAGGTGAGGGAAAGGGGGATACAGTCAGGGGTCAGTCGCTAGTTTTGAGGTTCAGGAAGAAAAACTTTGAAAAGGCCAAGCACTGTCACTGACAGAAACGGCCAGTGAGGAGGAAGGAGCGCAGGGTCAGTGAGAGCAAGCTCAGCCTCTGGTGGAGAAGGCTAAGGCAAGCTGTAAGAGATGTGTGAGGTGACAGAAGCTGTGGGTAACGGGGTGCCTCCCGCCATAACCAGCTCTTTCCACCCTGGTGCAGGGCAGGCAGGGGACAAGCAGGGTCTCATAGGACAGACAATAGTCCTTGAGTCTGAGGCCTGACATCTTTCTAAGTCCACATTCAGAACTTGTCAGTTCCCAGAGATCCTCGGGGACACACACAGTGCCATTTTCATTTGACAGATGAGGAAAATGAGCCCACAAAGCTAACCAGCTTGCCATCGTCCCTTCGTGGCAGAGCTAACTCTGGACATCAGTATCTGTGGACCCGCCCAGGTTTTCCACCACCAGGCTCTGCCCCAGCTCTACCCTCAGTGGGATCAGTCTCTCAGCCCCTTGGAGAGGCAGTTTCCATCCGCCTGAGCTACCTTCCCTGACATGGGGCTAGGGGCAAGAAAATTTAGGGAGGTAACACTGGACACTGGTGGACGGGCGTGTAGCTGCACACACTGAGTGGAGTGTCAATTATGAAGGGGTGTGTGTGTGTGTGTGTGTGTGTGTGTGTGTGTGTAGGGGTGAGGGAACACGGAGGGGGGTAGGAATCACACCAGAAGCAGTAACTCTCCCCTCCCCTCACACCCCAGCTCCCAAAGTCTTGCAGAACCAGGTTACCTGCTGGGCGTCGCCCTCAGTAAACGGCAGCTTTGTGGAGACATGAAACATGATCTCCCGGTCCCGGAATACAGTGTACACCGACTCCAGCCCTGTCTGTCCATGTGTCACATCCAGGCCTCCTCGGAAACTGTCGGTTCAACAGAGCAGGTATGAGTAGAGAAGGGAAGAAGAGGACCTTTAGCTACGTGGTACACGCTGCCCTTGGAGGGGGGCGGGAGAAGAAATGAGAAAGCATAAGGGGGGGGGGCAGAGACACCTGTCCTGCTGAGCAGAGGACCCTGGTGTTCTCACCATAGATCCACCATTTAAGAAATTAACATTGGACGACTGTACCTCTTGGTGTCTCACTAATAAAAAATTTTTAAAAATAAATACTATAAATTCCTTAATAAAAAAAAGAAATTAATATGAGGGCCAGAGTGATAGTATAGTAGGTAGGGCATTTGTCTTACACAGGGCCACCGTGGGTTCAATCCCCAGCATCCCATATGGTGCCTCCAGCCCACCAGGGGTAATTCCTGAGTGCAGAACCCGGAGCAAGCCCTGAGCACTGCCCAGTGTGGCCCAAAAATCAAAGAAAGAAAAGAAGATAAAAGGGAAAAAAGGGAAAAGAAAATGAAAAAGAAAAGAAACACAGGGCTGGAATGATAGTACAGGGGAGGGGGTTTGCCTTGCATGCTGCTGCCCTGGGCTCCATCCCCAGCATTTCTTATGGTCCCCCAACACTGCCAGGAGTGATTCTTGAGTGGAGAGCCAGGAGTAATCCTTGAGTATGTCCAGGGATGGCTCACGCCACCAAAATAAAATAATGATAATAAAATACAGAGGTCAGGGAGAAAGTTCCGTGGTCAGAGATGCATGAGGCATGCAAGTTTGGTCCCAGCACTGCCAGGTACGGCCCAAGGAGTCCCCAGCACCACAGTGCTGGGCCCAAGCACTGAACCATCCAGCTGTGTGGGCTGAGTATCGCCAGGGGTGGTTCCCAGCCACCTGAGCACTGCTTAGGAGGTTCCCCCAAAAGAAAAGAAAACAAAAGGTAGGGGCCATGACTCAAAAGGCTGGAGAGTATCCTTTGCATGTGTGAGCCTGGGTCAATCCCCAGTACTGCAATGTCCCCTAAGCTCTGCTGGGAGTGCTCCCAAGCACCCCTCGACGAGGAGTCCCTGAGTGGGTGTGGTCCTCACACTCACACACACAAAAGGAAACGAAGATGGTTTAAAGGACTGAAGTGCAGACCTGCACGCACAAGTCTCTGAGTTTAATGGCAACAAAGCACCTCAGGTGTAGTCCTAGAGGTCCCCAGGACCAAGGCATCTGATGCTGCCCCCAGCATCAATCTTTTGGCTCCCAAGAACAATAATAACAACAAAAATTCAAAGAAGGCAGAACCTCACTTCAAGCCTTATCTGTGTCCTGTCTACACCACAGTCATGTGAATGAGACTGTCCACCCAGAATCCCAGACAAAGCCTTCATAAAGCCATCATACCAATGGTCACCAAGACCAAGACGATTTTACTCTCTGCAAAGCTGTAAGGGTCCTCAGCCCACAGTCAGGGCCACCAGTCATGCTAGTAGGTGGGTCAGAGCATCCAGATGGGCAAAGAGTGACAGACACAGAACTTCTCCCCAGAGAGAAGCATGAGGGACTCCCATCTGGAAGTATCCCAGGACGTCCCTTCTCTGTTCTCTCCAAAGAGGAAAGAAGAAGACTAAGAGACTGGGTGTCCTGGGTGGGAATACAGAAGTTTCCCTTTCTATTCTTCTAGAAGCACAGCTGCTAGTTTTGGATCATATTCTTTGGCAGCTGGAGGAGGCTGCTGGTTCCTTTAGAAAAATAAAATTGCGTAAGGGAGAAAGCTGAAGTGCATGTGTGAGGTCTTGAGTTCAACTCCCAGTGCTGTACAGCACATCCTCAGGAACTTCTGAATACAGTCCTGGTGGCCCCTAAGCACTGCCAGGTCTGGCTTTACACTACTGGGCTGAGCTCGAAACTATCATGCCGATGCCAACAGGAGTGGCCCCTGGGCACCCTAGGCACTGCTGAGGATGGCCCCTAAAAAATGAATAAATGAGTGAAACAGAACCTGGATGTCAGCCCATTACTCCCATCTCTACCCTCACTCTGAGCTCTGTAATTCAAGCCAGAAAATGTGATTAGCCAGGCAAGGCAGAACGCATACTGGGCCGGGAAGCAGTACTCTAGCTTCCAGACCTGCTTCTGCCACAAAGTCAGCACCTGACCTGTGCACCATCCTCCCTGCCCCCCTGCCCCCTCCCAATGCCCCCCCCCCCCGCCCGCCGCACATACACAGGTCTCAGCTTCCTTTCTCCATAAAGTAAATGGACAGAATTACTAACAATAAAAACAATAAAATAATAAATTAGAGAATTAAAATCAAGATCCTCCCTGATTTTAATCCAGTTCATTTCATCTAATGTAAAAAGAAAAATACTCTCACATTTTAACATCTGTGACATTAGGATATATTTTATCTGAGTTTTTTAAATTTGTTTTTGTGTCACATCCAGCAATTCTCAGGGGTTACTCTTGGCTCTATGCTCAGGAATTATTCCTGGTGGTGATTAAATGACCATATGGGATGCCGGGGATCAAACCTGGGTGTCAGCTGAGTACAAGGCAAATGCCTTCCCACTGTACCATTGCTCCAGCCCCTAGGCTGCATTTTAAAGAAGTCATCACCTGATCAATACAAGTAGAACAACAGCAACAACAAAAAATGCAATAAGAAGCTGGAGAAGCAGTACAGCGAGTAGGGCACTTGCTTTGCATAAGGCCAGCCTAGGGTCAATCCCTGGCACCTTACATGGCCTGCTGAGCTTTGCCAGGAGTGATCCCTGAGCTCAGAGTCATGAGTAAACCCTGAGCACTGCCAGGTGTGTCCTAATTACAAACCCCAGAAAGTGCAATAACAAGAATGTGCCCTGTGTGGGGCATGCACAAAGGACTGTTGGGCATCATCTACTTCAGTCCTATACTGAAGTCCCGAGGGGTCCGTACTCTCATACTGCTGCGCTCTCCACAGTGCAGCCATGCAGAAGTTACCTCAGAGCAAGTAAGTGGTGGGATTTTGGTCTCCCAAGACAGACTCCAGATGAACCCACCCTGGTGGTGACCTCCAGAATGGAGGAAAGCAGAGAAAGAGGCAGAAAGGAAAAAGTGAAGGAGGCAGAGGAGGTCAGAATTTTTCATTCAATAGCCCCTTTTCTTTTGGGTTCCATTTAGATAACTAGGGGCTGCGGCACAGATTCCTGTGGGGTGAGAATGCTGCACCACCCCTTAATTATCCATTCTTCTTGTGAAGTAGCTAAAGTGGTTCATTTCCCCAAAACTGCACAGGGCCCTCTTGCCTGAATGATGGGAAAGGGGAATTGATTTTACTCTTTGTGCAAGCCAGATATAATTAGGAAGGCAAATCTGAGATGGAACAACTTCATCATGCATTCTAAGGTCAAACAGCAAATTCTTCCAGATAATCTTCTTCTCCGGATTATCCCTTGAGCCACTGGTTCCTTATGAAGGCAGTTAGTGGAGGTTGATCGCTTACTGGTAAACAATTCCATGCTCCGTGTGTGTGTGTGTGTGTGTGTGTGTGTGTGCGCGCGCGTGTGTGTGTGTGTGTGTGTGTGTCTGACTGCCTGCCTGTCTGTCTGTCTGCCTGTCTGTCTTGTCTGTCTTGTCTGTCTTGTCTGTCTGTCTGTAACTACCACATGCTCCCCCTGAAATTCAGTCTCTCATTCTTCCTCCAAGGTCTCATCCATGGGGCCTGAGCCATCTGTGGCCAAGACCTACCCTTTGAAGTCCTGCAGCGTGATTGTGTCTCCCAGGAGATCCAAAAACTCCTTGAAAGCTGGGCTCTCCTCATTATTCCCAAACAGCTCCTCCTCCAGAGTCTAAAAGAGAAACAGGAATAGCAGTAGGAGTTACAAAAAAGCTTTCTTGGAACCAGGGGAAGGGCAGAGGTTGACCAGATACCTGGTCCCTTTCTTCTTTGCTTCCCATCCCCTCGCACATACACCATCCAGGAGCTAGCTAGAGAAAGAATTGACAGCAGCTCACTCTAGAGGTCTGGGTTTAGGGGAGGCTGCTAATTGTGGATTTTTCCTTTGAGAAAGGCTGCTGATTGGGACAAAAAGTAAAACTAAAGCAAAGAGTTCTTAGACTTAATATCAACAATTCATACAAGAAAATTTAAATTGTGCTTCTGAAAAAGGACACGTATCTAGATATATAAAAGAACTCTCAAACCCATTAGGAGGGCAAGGCATATGGCTCGGCAGTGAAGTACACACTCAATATGCAATAAGACCTAGGTCTGATCCCTGGATTTTGATGTCTATTTGTAACAGTAATCAAAACCTGAGTTTGATGCCTGGTTTTAATGACTACTTTAGTTTAGTTTTTGGTGATGACCAAAAAAAAGGGCCATCAAAACCACAGTAAGATACCTCTTAGGCCAACTGGGATGGTATAATCAAAGAAAAAAATAAGTATGCTGACATAGTGAAAAATCAGCATCCTCAGGCACTGCCAGTAGAAATGAAAAACTGCACATTCACTTTGGAAAACAGTCTATCGGTCCTTCAAAAAATTAAGCATTTAGACACTGTATGGCCCCATGATTCTACTCCTAACTTCATAACCAAGAGAAATAAAAACTATGTCAATGCAAAAACTTGTACTTGAACGTTAATGGTACTATTCATAATAGCCACAAAGCAGAAACAAAGGAAGTGTTCATCAAAACAAAATGTGGTATATCCATACAGTGAAATATAATTTGGCTACCAAAAGTGAGTGCTTATTTCATACCACACCATGGATAACCCTTGAATTTATTTTGCTATTAATCAAGCCAGAGAGATGTGGCTCTGTGGTGAAGCATGTGTCTTCCATGTGTAAGTTCAATCCTGACACCAATTCCTGGATGCTACCTCTAGCGCCAGAATATGTGAAGCTACTGGCACAAGGTATGTGACTCCAATATCACAATATCCTAACACCACACTATGACCCCTGACCTACCATCACCATAAATATAAATAAAATCCTTTTAACAAAAATGGAGAGGTTTGACACAGGAAGACTGTACATTATGATTTCATTTACACATAATGTCTACAACAAGGAAACCCACAGAGACAGAAAGAGTATTTGTGGTTGACTTGAGTTAGAGACTGACAGCAGGGATCACTGGTGAAAGCTACTGGATAATTTCAGAGGATGATAAAAATTTTTCTGGAGTCTAGTGGTGGTGATCTATCTAGCTGTACAACTCTGTGAATAAACTGTCACTGTCACTATCCTCCCGTTGTTCATCGATTTACTCGAGTGGGCCCAGTAACATTGTGAGACTTGTTACTGTGTTTAGCATATTGAATATGACACAGGTAGCTTGCCAGGCTTTAACATGCAGGAGAGATACTCTCGGTAGCTTGCCGGGCTCTCTGAGAGGGGTGGAGGAATTGAACTCGGGTTGGCCATGTTGGCCACATGCAAGGCAATCACCCTACCCACTGTGCTATCGCTCTGGTCTGTGAATAAACTAAAAACCACTAAATTGTACATTTTTTTGAAATGTAGACATATACCACTATGAACTGTATATGATAATGAATAAAAACTATACTCAACAAAGTTGTTATTAAAAATGGCTTAACAGTAAGAAATAGAATCCAATTAGAAAATGGTCAAAAGACATGAAAAAAATATTCACCCAAGAGAATAAGCAGGTGGCAAATAAGCACACAAAAAGACATTCATCATCAAAGAAATGCCAAGTTAAAACCATAATGAGACATCATTACACATCTATGAAAATAACAAAAATTTAAAAATAGCAACACGAACAAATGCTGGCAAACATGTTAAAAAAATTGATCAATTGTACACTGATGGTAAGAATGTTGTAGAGATTCTAGAGCAATCACTCTAGAAAACAATTTGGCAGGTCTTACAAAACTAAACATATAGTTAACATATAACATGTAGTTATTAATTATACTCCTACACATTTAGCACAGAGAAATGAAAACATGTTCACACAAAAACCTGCAACCAAATGTGTATTTTAGCCCAGAACTGTAAACAACTGGATGTCCTATATTAGGCAATGGCTGAACATCCATACCACAGAACCCAGCAACATCAAAAAAGAATGAGGTACTGATATACTCAAGAATCTGATATATCCAAGTTCTTCAAGCTGAAGACATTCTTCAACCTACTGACTAGAAAAAGGCGCTCCTCGGAGGTTATAGATGATTCCATTGATGTAATGTTCTGGAAATGACAACTTTAGAAATTGGTGAGCAAATTAGTATGTGTGTGGGGTTAGGGACTGGAGTGAAAAAGGGTGCGTTTGAGCAGAAGAAAGACTAGCATACGCAACCAAAAAGCATCACAGCAATCCTTGTGGTGATGGAATCCTTCTGTATTTTAACTATGGAATCTATTCATGTAATAAAATTATATGCAACAAAACACACACCCCACTAATGACTCCATGTAAAAATGGGGCAATCTGAATAAGATCCATGATTACAGCAATATCCGTATCCTTGTTGTAATATATGTGCAATAATTTCATATGTTTTGACTTTGTGGAAAACTGAGTAAAGGCCAGGGATCTGACTCCGTGATAAAGCAAGCACATGACTGAGATGCAGGTTCAATCTCTGGCACCACAGGGGGGAAAATAAAAGTGCACAAGGTTCTTCTAGTTCATAAAACTTCATGTAAATTACAAAATATCTAAAATGTTCAAGTTAATATTTTTAAATGAATAAAGCAAAGTTGAAAGCAGTAGTAAGCGCTTGGATTGTGACAGGCTCAGAACATGAATGAGTCTGGCTGATCAGTGGGCTCTGCCCACAGTGTACAGTCCACAAACAGTGGAAGCTCCACAGACATCCACAGGTACACAGATGCGCATAGAGATGACCCAAACACTCCAGCCTGCCTGCATACTCAAGGAGAAAGCCTTCAAGAAGTGTTTTTTCAATTTCTCCTTAACATCTGTCTTATAAACACTTTGCTGCAAAAAGTGTGCAGACCTCAGGTGCCAAGCCATCAACAGGAAAAAGTCTAGTTAAGACTTGAGTAACTTTTAGTTTTTAGCATTTTTGTTTAGAATGATCTCATTTCAGTGTATGATACTGATTTTCTAATTAGAACACTGATGTTAAAAAAAATCCCTTAAAAATAAATGCAACTGCAACATACAGTAGAACAAACAATATGGTACAGATCCTGTATGTGATTTGTGATCATCTGAAGTTTGGGGAACACAGCAGGGGTAAGCAAACTCTGGTTCACGAGATAAGCCAGGCCTGTAACCTGCTTTTATAAATTTATAATATATAAAATGATTTATTGGAACACTGCCAGGCTAACTTATTTACCTATTATCTATGGCTGCTGTACACTACAAAGGCAGGATTGAGTGTTGCAACAGAGACAGAAGAGCCAGAGAATTCTGAAATATTACTATCTGGCCCTTTATAAAGACTGTCAACCCCTGAACTACCACAGAGTATGAAGTTATCCCTTCTCAAGCCCAGTGTCCTGCTTGTTCCAGCTCATGAGGCCAGAGTGCTGGAAAACAGTGGATCTCAGTTAATCTCTATCTTTTGATGGGAAAACAATTCTCTTTATGCTGTGGGGTGACACTTCTCAGCAGGATTCATATCCAGTCTGTCATTAGCTCTGTCTTCCTCTCATACTGGACTCAACTCTGGCCATGCGCTCAGGGAGGGGGTCTCAGCCATCACTGTATCCTCCACAGTGCTTATCATGGTGCCTTCTATACAGGAAGGTTAGATGAGGCTTATTATAACCAAGGTCAGCATAGAGCTTTGCTGCAAAAAGTGTCCATATTAAATTTCCACTGCAAACAACAACCTGCCCAAAAGGTCCTTTTTGAACAAGGTCCCTTGCTTCCCTGTTCACCCCCATTGGCCAGCCTCAGGTACATAAACAACACAGAGTCCTTCTAAGAGGTGGATGGTTAATGTTCAGTAATTACAACTTTGCTGGAACATTGGCCTATAATCACCTTATGAGATCTGCTTTGGTAAATTTCACAAGCAAAGAACTTTAATTAGGAGGGTTATATTAGCAGAGCTATACAAAATCAAAATGCAATATGTGAAAATAATTAGAGTGACTACCTGCATAATCCTCCTAAAATTATAAGATTCATCTGGGTTGGTCTTTCGACTCCTAAACCCTTCATTTAATTAGAATGTTTTTAGTGAACACATGTCTCTGTGGTCTAAAATCTTGAGACAAGGATCTAGCCAAGAAAGGCTATCATACCCTCCTCAAAAAATACACAGATAATATTGAAACACACTATAGCTCTATCATTAGCAGGACTCAAACCTTTATTCACCATCCATTCACATATTTAAAAAAAGCATGAGTATATCTCTATAAAGTCCCTAAGCTGGGCTCTTATACAAGACAAATATGAAATAGGCAGGGCCTTCTCACACAGGAAAAGAAAACACTTCTCAACAGTAAATAAACATTCAGGGTAGAAAAGATGGGAAGTGCGTGGACAAGAAAGAGTAGGAGACATCAAGTTCAAAGTTATATATTCTGTATACAAAGACTTCTGAGTCTGGCAAGGAGCTGGAGCCTTTAAAATGCTCCCACACAAATGACCTCCCCTGCAGCCCACTCCTTTTCTCAGAGTACTTCACCAGATGAGTATCCCAAGGAGCATCCATCTAACAACATTATTCTGGCCCCCTCATTGCAAAGCAGCATGTAAGTGCTACAAGAGATGAGGGGGAGCAGTGGTGTGCCTGTGAATGTTTTAACCGCCAGCTCTCCAGAGAGGAAAAGTAGAAGCCCTGGAGTTGGCTGACTTCCACGGTGCACATACTTCCACTGTGGCTGGGTGCTAGCTGCCAGCACGACATCAGTGAACGCAGAGCTGTGAAGGGATGCACATGGCTGTCTCCAGCACAGGACTGAAGCTTGGAAGAAAAGCTATTCCTGGTTAGGAGCATGGTGGGCAAGGACAGAGTAGCTTTTGCTCGTCTGTTCTCTCTGCTTGTCTACTTGGTCTAGGTTTTGCTGTGTCCAGCAGCTAAGATAAATTAAACTGAGCTGGCCAGAAAGAATTAGAATTTACTCTATGAAAAAGACATTATCATTTAAAGGATTTGCAGGCCTCAGAGTGGGGAGTAGCTTGCCTTGGGAGGTTCTGATAGCTCTAATCTAATTCATATATGCAAAATGATTATCATATTCAGATTGTTTTAAGAACTGAGTGCAGAGCTCCTGTGCTTGAGAAAGAGGGAAGAGAATGCAATGAGAGAGCCCCAGGACAGCTCAGTGGCAGGATGCCTGTCATGCAGGCAAGAGGCCACAAGTTTGATCCCTGGCATCTCCCCACATACACCAAGTGCAATGCCACCACCATTAGGTTCCCCGTGGCATAAGATCGTGATCTCCAGCCCCCGCAACTACGTGTGAGCATCACAACTAGAGTGTGCGATCCATGGGCACTGAAGAAACAAAGGCAAGGGAGAAAAAAATGAAAGAAAGGAAAAGAGAAACAAAGAGGGAAGGAAAGAGGGAGGGAGGGAGGGAGGGAGGGAAGAGGGGAGGAGGGCACGCCATGAGAACCCCAGGATATGGTGGCCACACAGGTGTGTGATGCTTACCTGCCTGGCTTTTTGATAAATGACCCCAAATTTGAAGGTGTTGTTGACATCATGCTCATCATAGGACACAATCATCTGGGAGGCCTGGAAAACGCGAAGGGGAGGGCCATCAGTTTCTGGGTACCTTGAATGGAGTGAGGAAGCAAAGGGACAGGAGAGCACTGGTGTCTGTGGAGAACGTGATCCCTCAGGTGAGAGGCCCTACATGAGATAGGCGCAAGGAGAGAAGAGCAAAGAGAAATTGGAAGCAGGGTCCGGGCACAACTGCAAAGAACTCAGCGGGTCCCGAGTCCCCCATTCCGTTCCCATTCGGGGGCACACTGCGAGTGCAGCGGGACTCTGACTCTATCTTCATTCTAACGGTTTTATTTTGTTTTTATTTTTATTTGAGTTACCATAGTTTACAAAACTGTCAATGACAGGGTTTCCACACATGAAATACCCCAAACCACGCCCTCCACTAAAGTGTCCACTTCCCTCCACCAGTCTCCCCTTTCCACCTCCCCCCACGTCCCCCTCACCTTGGTAAGCTCAAGTCTGTAAGACCGGTTCCCAGGTTCTGTTGCCTTTGGCTGTTTGTTATTTCCTTACTTTCCCCCCTTATATCCCACAAATGAGAGAGATTATTCTGTATTATTCCGTATCATCCTCTTGTTTTTTAATCTGTGGTGTAAAATGTGATGCCAGGGTCCAGGAGACAGAAGCAAGGACTGAGACACATATCTGGCATGCAGAGCCATTGGGTTCAGTTCCTGGCACTGACTGCTCCCCCTCAGCACCACAGGGGTGGCCCTGGTGAGGCAGAGCAGCACCAAACCGTATATCCATGGCAGAGGTCCTGGAGCTGAATTTTTTTTTCTTTTTGGGTCATACCCAGCCATGCTCAGGGGTTACTCCTGGCTCTGCACTCAGGAATTACTCCTGGCAGTGCTCGGGGAACCATATGGGATGCCGGGGATCGAACCCGGGTCGGCCGTGTGCAAGGGCAAATGCCCTACTCGCTGTACTATCACTCTGACCCCTGGAGCCAGAACTATTTTATTTTATAAAAAATATTAATAAAAAAATTTTAAAAACTGAAGCCAAGATCCCAAAACTGCTCAGGGAGGATGGCACTATCTCTAATTCCCCCTCGAGTCAGCAGCCTGATTTTGAGGAGGCCTTAGGTTGTGTGAGAGAGAAGGGTTTGGAGCATGTGTCTGTCAGGCAGATATGGTCCCCTATCCCTGGAGCCCTGCCAGAAGTGAGCCCTGAACAAAGCCGGGTGTGGTCCAAAAAGACAGACAGAGGGTGTGTGAGAAAGAAGGGTTTGGAGCATTCTTTTTGCAGGATGGGTCCCACCATCCTCTCGGCCAACTGCACTGGGACGGATGCTTGCATGCACTTTAGCACGTAAGGCAATTGTGACTCAGTGGAGGCCCAGCAGCACAGTTCTGCTTGTGTTTTCTCTCTAAGATGCTGTTGGCTCATGAGAAGCCACAGGGGCACTGAGTTTCTTCCTCTGGCCAACCTAAAGCAGCTCTTGCCTAGATATCAATCCATAACATGAGATGTGTCAAGGAGACCTCTATGGAGGAGCATGTCCTAATACAACATGCAAAGAAAAATACCTGGCCACTGCCTCAATGTCATCTCCTATGGCGTCTGACATTCAGAAATATTAACCTTTTGTTTTAACTATATTGTTATACCAGCTGTGAGCAAGCCACCTGTCTCCTCTGGGCCTCAGTTTCCTCTTCAGTTAAGGAGAGATATGTGGCTGGGAAGAATCACTGAGATCAGACACACAGAGAGCTGATCACAGAACAACTACCACTGCAACCATCATCTGTCCAACCATCCAGAAGCGCAGAGTGGAAGCAACTTGTTGGCAGAGAGACTGAGTGCTACTGAGGTGCCCTCTGCCATATAAGGGAGGACTTTGGTCATGTGTAGGCCTGCCAGGTGAAGGGCAGACCAGAAACCACAGGTGTCAGAATATATGGTTTCTTCTGAGGTTGCCACAGAGGATCTGCCTCTGAGAGGCTTCCCTGCTCTATGGCGAGAAGCTGCTTCTTGCTCCTTCCTGGGATGAGTCCAAGGTGCAGAACAGCTGCCTCCAGGGAGGAGGCACTGGCCCCGGGACCTTCCAGGGCACATTCTAAACTCCTCATAGTTTGAAAGAACACACATCTTGGCCAGATCAACTTCCCAACCAGACCCAGTTGAAGACAGAGCTTCAACCCTAGAAAACATGAAAAGAAAAAGCCTGGTTATTAAAAACAGAGCAAACGTGTTATGGAGAACGGTTCCAGGTTATGTAGAACTGCAAATGTATGTCACTCGGACCTCTCAGTAGACATGATTTGACAATGCAAAATGCCAAACTTGTCCTTGAGTTCGGCCTTTATGATATATATGATTGTTAATGTCTTTTAAACCTCACTAATTCCGCTTTAACTATAGAGAGGGCTTGGGGGCCTCTAAGTGACAGAAAAGGGCCCTTGGAGTGCAGTGTCCCACAAGTTCAGAGGCTTGAGAGGGTGTGTGAGAGAGAAGGATTTGGAGCATTCTCTTTGCAAGATGGGTCCCACCATCCTCTCAGCCAACTGCATTGGGACAGATGCTCACGTGCACTTTAGCACGTAAGGCATTTGTGACTTAGTGGAGGCCCAGCAGCACAGTCCCGCTTGTGTTTTCTCTCTAAGATCCTGCCGGCTGGCTCGTGAGAAGCCACAGGGGCACTGAGTCTCTTCTTCTGGCCAACCTAAAGCAGCTCACTGTCCCGGGTGACAAGTCCTGTCATGCTGGTAGTTGTTCTTGTCACTGTCACTGTCACTGTCCTCCCGTTGTTCATTGATTTGCTTGAGCAGGCCCAGTAACGTCTCCATTGTGAGACTTGTTGTGAGACTTGCTGTATTTGGCATATCGAATACATCACGGATACCTTGTCAGGCATTGCCGTGCAGGCGCGATACTCTCAGTAGCTTGCCAGTCTCTCCAAGAGGAGCAGAGGAATTGAACCCGGCTCGGCCGGGCTAGCCGCATGCAAGGCAAATGCCCTACCGCTGTGCTATCGCTCCAGCACTTGTAATGATTCCTTAGTTTGCTCTGTTACTACTGTTGCCCTTCCCACCCAAAATCAAATCAGGGGTGAAGATAAGGCTGATGATAATAATGATGATAATGATAATAAGAAGGTAATAACAGAGAACCAGCCGACATATTAACAAAGCACAGACTCATAAGGCCACAGAGCGACAGTAACACTGGCAATGTGGACAATATGACCTTTTATTTCTTTTTGTTTGTTCTGCTTTTTGGACCACACCCGGCTTTGTTCAGGGCTCACTCCTGGCGGGGACCATATCTGGTGACAGACCCAGGTTGACCCCTGGCGGGGACCATATCTGGTGACTAAACCCAGGTTGACCCCATGTAAGGCAAGCACCTTACCCACTTTGCTATCCCTCCAGCCTTGGTTGTCTTTTTCCCCCCCTTTTTGGGTTACACCCGGCATTGCAGAGTGTAACCCCATTACTCCTGCCTCATGAACTCAGGAATTACTCCTGGCGATGCTCAGGGGACCATATGGGAGGCTGGGAATCAAACCCGGGTTGGCCACATGCAAGGCAAACACCCTACCCGCTGTGCTATTGCTCTAGCCCCCTGGGTGTGTTTTATTTGTGAGTGGGGCTCTGCCTTCAGCCCCTCACAGCCACCCCTGGCCCGAGGGAGGATGAAAAGCTACAGCACATTGATGTCTCTGCCACCTCCATAAATGCTGGCAACCAATTCAGGGAGACCAGAGAGTCAGATGTGGTCAAGGACCACCTCTAATAATCCTGTTTGTGAAGGAATACGTGGGGTAGAGGGTAAAATACAAGTTCAACACTAGGACCTTCTCATAAATCCCCACCAAGACGGAGAACACCCACAGAGGCTCAGGTGTACTAATTCACACTGAGCTCTATAAAAAGAGGAGGGTAAAGACCTCACCTTGGGGTACAGGACAGGGTTGAATTTCAGTCCTACTGCATCATCACAGAAAGCCTAAGCAGGAAGAGAGAAACACAGAGATCAGGGCATGAACACAACCTCTTATAGGCTCCTCCAGTCACCAAGACAGAGAGCATGAGAGGGCAGGGCAGGTGGGGGCCCCAGGTCAACTCTAGATTCTGCTGCTTGGAAGTCAATGAGCTCCTCTGGGTTTCACTGCTGAAGTAAGGCTAGGAAAGGTAGGTAGCAGGATTCTGCTCAAGGTGCCAGCAGGTCCAAATCCACCTGATCATCGGACTAACCTCACTTTGCTGATGCAGTTCCCTGGCTCCCAGAATCCCAGCGCAGTGACATGGGCCCCTCCATCTGCTGATGATGGAAGCATCTGGACCACTAGCCTAGTCACCCTTCTCATGAACTCTCTACTCCTGGGAAGGCCCTGTCTGCTTCCTCCACATCCTCCTCTGAAATCCTAGAACAATGCACCCCCAGTCCTGTCTTTCCAATCCTCTTATGAACTAGCTGCAAACTTGGGGTAAGAGACCGTGATGGGTTCTACTGTTTCCTGAGAAGTTTCAGCCAAGAGGATGTGGTGGAAAGGATACGGGAGACAGGGGCGTCGACCTGTTGGTCTCTCCTCCCCCATCCATGCACCAGGGTCAAAAACACCCAGTGGCCTTCTGCAAGAACAGAGCCTGTCCAAGACTAACATCCACCCTGACCCAGAGCCCAACCCTTCTCTCAGGGTCTCACTTTACCTTGGCAATCTGTGGGACACTGGGCAACTTGCTCAGTCCAGCCAAAGGGATCCGCTCATGCACTGTCTTCACTTTGGATCTGCACACATGAATGAAGGTGAGAAAACGCCACAAGATAACGGGTCAATGAGGTTCACACACACCATGTCTACTGGCTTCCCGTCTCCCCCGTCTGATCTGCTTCGTTCCACCCAACCCCAGTTCTAGGAACCAGGGTCTGTTTAAACGGTGAGAGAACGGAGTCCCACTTCCATACCCCGTGGGAGGTGGATACTTAAAGAACATGCCTGGTAAAGCTGTCTGAACAGAAGTAAGGGAAATGCAAATAATCACCTTCAGGTTCACCACAATTTTTTGGTTTGTTTGTGGGTTTTTTGTGTTCTCCCATAGACTTGGGCACGATTTCTGAATACATTTGGAGTCTCACATGCAACTAAACCTTTTATGAAAAGGAAATCTAATATTTGAAAATCTGGATCTACTCAAAATATAAATGAGATGCTTTATAAAGGGATTCACCATAAGACTCTAAATTTAGCTTGTTCCCCTGATTCATTTAGCACATTATGAAAGTGTTGAATTTTACTGAATGCTTTTCTGCATCTGCTGAGATAATCATATGGTTTTTTAATCTGTTAACCTGGAGGCTTACATTTCTATTGAGCCATCTTTTCATTCCATGGGTAAAATTCTGCTTATGGCATGTTATTCTCTTACTATTCTGCCGAGTTTGTTAATATTTTATTTAGGATTTCACACCTATGTACAATAATAACTGACCTATTTTTTTCTTGTACTTTCTTTGTCGGGATTTGATATCAAGGTGTTATTCCAGTCTCATAAAATTGCCAGAAGTGTCTCATCCTTTGAAATCACTGGTATAAAAGAGATTTTCGGTCCCTTAGAGGTTTGCTAAAACTCACAGATGAAATCTCTGGGTCTGTTGTTTTTTGAAGGAGGATATTTTTGACTATCAATATTTTTGACTATCAATTCTTAGTAGCAATGATGAATGCTTAGGTTTTCTCCTTACTAGATCAATCTAGGTAATTTATGTTTTTCTGTGAAGTTTTCTATCAAATGTATTGATATAAAGTTGTTTTGATATTTGCTATTATAGAACTTCATCTCCATTTGCGGTTGTGACTGTCCTTCATTGCCAACCACTGCTTACATCTTTCATCTGTTTTCCTCAGCAAGGGGGAAGGTTTATCTATCTTATTAATTTTTTTCAGAATTAGCTATTGGTTTTGTTGATCATCTTTTATATTTTCACTTTCTACTTCACTACTCCATTCTTTTTTTTTTCTTTCCAAGTTTCTCTGTTGTTTTTTTCTACTGTGCTTTTTCTAACATTTTTCACTTGTATCTACTCATTTGATCTTCCTTTTCATGAGTACATTTAAAACTATACATCTTTCTCTAAGTACCACTTAACTGCATCCCACACACTGATAGGTAGTGTTTTCATTGTCATTGAGCTCCAAATATTTTGTCAGTTCTTTTGTGTTATTCCCTTCAGCCATGAGTTATTTAAAAGGGTTTTCTTCTTTTTTACTTTAACTTCTCAAATGAATGATTTTTTTCTCTGGTGTTTTAACTGTTAATTTCTAATGTATCCTCCTATAGACAGGAAATATAATAAATAATATATCATTTGAAATCAGTGGCTTAATTATATGAACTTAAAATTCCATGTTCCATGTAAGCTTGAAAATAATGTGGTATTTTTCTTCCTTCTCTTGAGTGCAGGAATGTAAGTTACAAGACCAAATTTATCCACTGCATCGTGAAAATCTTCTATATCCTCATATTTTTTTTAATTTTTATTTTTTTAATTGAGTCACAATGAGATACATAGTTACAAAACTGTTCATGATCAGGTTCCAGGCATATGATGATCCAACAACCATCCCTTCGCCAGTGTCCACTTCCCACCACCAATTACCTCAGTTTCCCTCCCACCATCACCCCCACAGCCTGCCTCTATGTCTCTGACAGGCACTTTCCTTTTCTCTCCCCCCCCCCCGTCTGTCTCTCTCTCTCTTCTTCCTCTGTCTCTGTCTCTGTCTCTGTCTCTTTCTCTCTCCCCCACTTCTGGCATTATGGTCTGCAACACAGATACTGAGAGTTTATCATGTTTGTTCCTTTACCTACTTTCAGTGTGTAGTTCCTATCCAGAGTGATCATTTCTAACTATCCTTGTCATAATGGCACTTTCTCTATTTCTCTATCCTAATTGCCTTTTCCTCCAGCACTTGAGTCAGGCTTCCAATCATAAACTAATCCTCTTTGCCCTTGTTTCTACTGTCCTTGGGTATTAGTCTCATATTATGGGTTTTTTTTAAATTTCACAAATGAGTGCAATCATTCTATGTCTGTCCTTCGCCTTCTGACTCATTTCACTCAGCATGATACTCTGCATGTCCATCCATTTATAGGTGAATTTCATAACTTCATCTTTCCTAACTGCTGCATAGTATTCCATTGTGTAGATGTATCATAGTTTCTTTAAGCAGTCCTCAGTTTAAAGCAGTCATCTCAGGCACATGGGTTGTTTCCAGATTCTGGCTATTGTGAATAGTGCTGCAATAAACATAGAAGTGCAGGTGGCATTTCTGCAGTGTGTTTTTGGGTTCCTGGGATATATTATCCTCATAATTTTTGTCTAGTTTGTCCACTACTTCTGAAAGACAGTATTGAAATCTTCCGCTATAAGAGATTCTTTTCTTCCCTTTATATTACTGTCAGTGTTTTACCTTTTTCACTTAAAGACTTACTAAATAATTACAAGTTCATGACCGTTAGTTTTTGGGGGTTAGATCTATGATAGACTCTTTGATCTATCATCATGTAGGCTGAGACTTCTGAAGGGCCAATAATGTGGATATTTCTCTAATTAGATTTTGAACAAATTCAGAAACCAACCAATTGATAAGACAGTCAAAAAGTATGGGAGTCAAAGTAACCTGTTTGTTCTGATGAAAGCCAGGAAGAAGCACACATGCCTACCTTGAAGATGAGCTGGAATGTCTAACTAGACCCCAAATTAGCTACCCGGTCACAGGAATGCTGGCCGAACCATGTGGTCTGTCCAAATTGGACTTGAATATGAGCAAGCAGAGGGGATGCCCTGAGAGCAGTTAGCTCCAGGAGTAAAGGGGGAAGAACAAGATATGCATGCTGATTTCTTGCTCCCTCCTACCAACCCAGCACAGGTAAGGAAACATCAGAAGAGTTTTCCCAAACTACAAGGGGTGTTCTTCTCATCACTACTACTGCCTTCTTTCTTCCCTGAAATTCTATTTTGTCTCATGTTAAAATTTCAAGGATAGATTTAATTAGGATTTTTTATATCCTTCCATGTCTTTATTTTAATTCTCATGTAATTTTTCTTTATATATGTTTAATAAGCAGAACATAGCTCTGTTTTGAATTCACATGACTGATATTTACATGCTTGTGTGATGACTAATTTACTTGTAATAATTTTTATACATTTTGTATTTGCTGTCACCCTATATTTTCTTTCCTTTTCCTTTATATTTTCCTGCTTTCAATTTAATAAAGGTTGGAGTGATTGCACAGCAGTAGGGCATTTGCCTTGCATGCAGCCAGCCCAGCCAAGCCGGGTTCGATTCCTCCGCCCCTCTTGGAGAGCCCGGCAAGCTACCGAGAGTATTTCGCCCACGAGGCAAAGCCTGGCAAGCTACCCATGACGTATTCAATATGCCAAACACAGTAACAAGTCTCAAAATGGAGACATTACTGGGCCTGCTCAAGCAAAATCGATGAACAACGGGAGGACAGTGACAGTGACAGTGACAATTTAATAAAGCAATTTTAAATTATTCTTATCTCTCTACTGGTTTGGGAGCTTTAGATTGAATTTAAGATGACTTTAAAATGCATATATTTATCTGTTTTCCAACAAACTCTACAGTTACTAAATTATTTTTCTCCTGAGAAGGAAAGTACATTTTTTTCCATGAAACTCTTCCTTTCATATTGTCCTTCCCATTTTTAAACCATAAAAATTTGTTTTGTAAATTTCTTTTTTTTTCTTTTTGCTTTTTTTTTGGGGGGGGGGGTCACACCTGGCGATGCACAGGAGTTACTCCTGGTTCGTGGACTCAGGAGTTGTGCTCGGGGGACCATATGGGATGCTGGGAATCGAACCCAGGTTGGCTGCGTGCAAGGCAAACACCCTACCTGCTGTGCTATTGCTCCAGCCCCGTAAATTTCTTAATCTTCCTTCAAACGCATAAAAAATTACTTTTTTCCAGCAACCATCCACATGGTTTTTATTGTTTGTTTATTTGTTTGTTTGGGGACCACACCTGGTGGTGCTCAGGGCTTACTCCTGACTGTGTGTTCAGAGATACTCCCGGCAGGCCTTGGGGGAACATATGGGGCACTGGGGATCAAACCCAACTCAGCCAGGGAAAGTCACTGGACTAACCTCTGGCCCAAATCCACATGATTTCTTGCCACTCCTATTTGCACCCTTTCTTTGAATCTCACTTTTTTTTCTGACTAAAGGACATCCTTCAATAATTCAGGGAGAGACAGTAAATGGTAAATATTCCTTCTTAACATCTGAAAACAGTTTAATGTTGTCCCCACTGAGATTTTCTGGCTATAGAAATTTTAAAGGGGCTTCTTTCTTTCTTCCTCTTCTCTCTTTCCTTCCTCTTTTTCAAGTCCTTCAAGAGAGTATCCCATTTTCTTCTACCAAAGTGTCTGAAAAAAAGTCACTCTGGGTTTGGTGATGGGGTGGGGTTTGAAGCCCCAAAGTACTGCTCCTACCTCTAGACTAAGGAGTACTTGGAGGGACCATATATAGTGTTGTAGATTGAACTGAGTTCAGCCACATGCAAGGCAAGCACCTAATCCCCTGTACCATCTCTGGAGCCCGATCCTCTGACTTTTCTATTATTTCTTTTTAGAAGTCCACTAAGACAAGTTATTGGGTATCTTAGTCCATTATCGTAATATCTTCTTTTTCATAAGATGTATCACTATATCTCTTCTGTATTCTAGATTCACCTTTGAGATGCTCTTCAAATTCACAAATTT